ATTTATTGGAGTGACAATCAGAAAATATGTGATTCTCCCTCAAGTTTTTATTTCTGTCCACCGCAGAAGCTGTGATGTGGTGTGGATCACAGAGTCTTCTGTGTTCAGCCATAAAGAGGCTTTCTTGTGCTTGTCCGCATTTCACTCTTTCGCTCGCCCTGTTTCTATAGCTCTCTCGCTCTCCTTTTCTCAGATCAGACTGTGCTCCAGCCACGCTATTGGGCACTGAGCTGTAAACAGGAGCGGCACACTGATCCGAGTCACCTTCATTCAGGCCCATGCCCCAGTCGCCTCACACACCATTTCTTTTTTTTCCTCCCTCTTTTTGAAACTCGTCAGTGTTTTGAATCCACACTCCCAAAAAACTGGTAAAAATGTCATGGGTACAGCTCCCTGTGCGGAGGATGGACCGCTGGGTATGCCCCTTGCTCATCGTGAGCCTGACACATAGGCCCTTTATGTGGCTGTGAGGAGGGTGGCCCCTTCCATCCTCTGCTTCTCATCCACACCCCAGAGGCTCTCATTCAACCCAGGCCTGGCTGGGGGGAAGTTGAAGCTCTTTTGTATTGGGGGGGAGGGGGATTCTTAGTGGGGGCTGTCAAGGCTGTGACTGTGTGCGCCTTTATTTCCCCAGAAAAGAGATGGGGTGGAGGGGGTAGAGATAGAGGGAGAGGGCAAGAGGGAGGCCGGAGAGGGAGGAGTGGTTCCAAAGGAGAGTTTGGACACAGAAGGCCTTGTTAACCGGCTCCCTCAAAGAGAGAGAGGATGAGACGTAGAAAAGAAAGACGGAAAAGGCAAAGTAACACCAAGCATGAATTTTTTTTTTTTTTAAAGCCAAAAAACCGTTTCCCTCTGTTACGTCACTGTGTTATTCCCATTTTACTCTACCCTTCCCTATCTGTTCCCTCCATCTGTCTCCATGTAAGCTCAATCTTCAGCTCAACAAGCTTTTGCCCTCCCCCTCACCTCTTCTCAACCTCGTCCATTAGTTTACGCACATTCTATTATCTGGGAGAGCGGGCTAAAAGAGATGTCTGGGGTCAGAGCGATCATTATCATCACCCCTTGCTGCTACACTTGTGAGTTATAGCCCACCATACTGAAAACAGACATTTAAATCATAATCAATAAAGCAATATCAATGCTGAGAAGCATGGCAAAAGGAAATCAGGCTCCAGGCTCTGGAGGAAACACATACTCTGAGACTGAGACGGTGGCACGCACATATTGATAAAACATGATCAAGCCAAAAGAAAAAAAACACACACACAATATGTGACGTCACGCTTTGCACTTTTTTTCTAATGGTCAACTAATGCACATTGTGGCTGGTGTGCAAAAATGTGTGAAAGTGGAGCGAGCGCGTCATCACGAGGGGACGATGACGTGCCGTAGCCGCTATCCGACTCTCTGGTCACGTTAAGGTAACTAGGGAAGCAATGGTACTTGCAGGGGTAGCCGTACAAGACGCACACAGTGTTTCGTCCAGCAGGGACAATGCGAGGAGACAGGTGTGACCTGACCCAGCTGTGACCGGACCACGTTCTCCGTTGCCGTTGCAGCTGAGATCACGACTGAGTCTCTGTCTCTTTGCTGCCACGAGGAGAAAATGCCAGTTGCCCGCGTACAGAAAAAGTGAACCACATCACTGTCAGGGAAGAATAGGTTTGGGACATGATACAAAAACTCATCATGTAATCAGTCAGTATAAATTACAGTTCTAACACACAGAGAAAGGCTACACAATCACTGTTATTAACTTGCACAGTTTGTGGTGAATAAGATACTCTCATGCAAATATAATGCATAATCCAGCTGAACTGCGCATACTTGTTGGATTCCATATTTAGAAATCTTTGTTTCACCCACAAAGACCATTTGAAGTTACTATTATTATTATTATTATTAGATGTGGTTCTTTTATAACTTCTTTTCTCACCAGATGTTATTGAAAACATTATGGATTTGCTTTATATGATTTAAGAATAGCGACTTAAATAACGCTTATTTTGATGATTTCTTTTCTCCGCTCAAGCCAACACGTCCCGCTGAGGCTCTCGAGCTTGACGTAGGAGATGAGTATTGTTTTTGAGGTGGCTTTTTTAATGTTTTAAGAGAAAAACAAAGCATTAAGTAAATCACACATTATCATAGGGATTGGGTTTTGAGCATTGCCTCACTTACTGAGTGAAGTGAAAATACCCCACAGCAAATCTATAGTTTGTTACAGAGCTCGCAGCAGGCAAGAATAAAAATGTAGCAGGGAAAATTAAATGAGTACAAATGATGTGTTTAATAATTAATAATTTATTTGTTTACACAGATCAACTAGAACTATTTAGTATTTAATGATGATTTCACGTTTGCTAAATTAACTGGACTGGGACACTGTAATTGCGTATACAGTTTGGTTGAAAGTTAATCGTTGACATCATTTAAAAGATCATTTGCATATTGATTTGAATTTGGGTAACTAACAAAGATGGATATTGTTTGATACTGTATTACAGTTTAGAATTAAATGCTCTTTGCAAAGCACCTAATGTTTAAATGTTGTTTTTTTTTTGTTAAAAATCAAATGGAAGTCAGGTTGAGTAGTGCAGTCAAGCACATTGCCAGCTTGATCAAACACTTCAGGAGCATTGAGCTTCAGTCCAGAATCCCAAGGTCCTGTGTAGGTGTGAGCTGTGAAACGAGAGTGCAATGCACATCATGGTTTATGTGCAGCCAAAGCCCACGCAGTGCTGATCAGACAGGGATCATCTGCTATATCTGGAATCTATAACCCTGTCGCTGGTGCTTAAGGGGAAATTTGGAGAGCTCAAACCAGAACCAAAGTGAAGCTATACAGTGTGTTATGTGTCATTGAAGTAAGCTTACTTTTTAGTAATTTTTTTGTAATCATAGAGGAGACTGAGGTGTTTTATAGGTCATCAACTCCAAATATGTACAAAATGGCACATCCATAGTAAAAAGTCTGCAATGTAAAAATAGCAATAGGCATGCATAAAAACAATTACTTTGCTATCTTAATTGTTTTCCAAAGAAAATACTTTCTGTCACCTTTCCAATTAAAACATAACCAGGAGCTATATTAGATGTATTTTTAAATGGTGCCTGCAGCATGTCTTGCTGTCTAAGATATTGGATTCCACCTCTACATTTTAATGACCAGTTTTATTTATGCAGAGGAATCAACACGGCTAAACAAGAAGCCACAAAAGACCATAGCATGAAACTGTGTTTTGTTTTTCTTTTTTAAACTGTGCCAGCTGAGGATTCAGCTCTAATGATTTACATCTTGTTATTTAGCAATGCCGCATATTACAATGCCACATGGATAGTGTTTACAGTATCTTTTCAATTAGCCTAACAGTTGTACAGAGTCCGTTTTCACATGCCAGTCTCCTGACATTTCTTAACCCAACTGACATACACTTGGTGAAGTGTGAACCATTTTGCAAATGAGGGTTATTCTGGGAGAGTCACGTCTCTCCTCCCTCTCTCTCCCTCTCGCTCTCCTCCATGCACCCTCGAGAAGGTTGTAAAAGCTGTTGTCCTTTAGTGATGACGGAAAGCGAGGAGGAGCCGCGAGAGAAAAAGAAAAGGAAAAGCTCTTCAATTGGAGCCCCGATTTCTCCTCTCTCCGTCTGCGTCTGTCTCTTTCACTCTCACTCTGCATGTGGCCTGCTGCTCTGTCATCCTCAGGGATGCATCTGAAGGAGACCATCTGTTGATCCATTTGTCTCCTGCTTTGCTTCCTGTGCCACTGCCTCTCTCCAATCGATGATCAGGCCTGGCCTTTCCCCTGCCCACCCTCTTTGTGTCTGCCAACAGGCCCTCAGGGCGAGGCGGGTTTGCTGTTCGGGTTGAGATAGGAGATTGTGCCCGGATTCAGACAAAGAGAAATGATAAGCAGTGGAGAACATGCTGGGTTTTTGTACATAGACTGCTCACAATGAACAAGCTAATGACCACAGAGAAAGCTACTTTCTAATCAGTGCTCATCTAAAGTGAGCATTGTTATGCTGACCTGAGTCAAAAAAATGTAATTCTTTTTTATGCGTTGCTAATATCAAAACCGTAATCTTCTTTCGCTTTGACAGTTTATCCTTACACGGATAGACGACAGACCACGAAATAGATGTTAGGAACAATGCCGAGATGCCGAAGGACCACCGGAGGCTTCCAAACATTCACCACCAACACATTCATTGCTTGTGAAGTGTTTGGCAGCGTTGCTGCTAAAGAGAGTGGGGTGCTGGTTTCCACACATCACCCATCTGTCACCTCACATGCATGCTCATGGGTTTGACGGACACCGACTCCACCGTGGGGACTTTGGGGATTGCTTGCCTTTGATCTTCTCCCGTGACTCTCCATTAACCATCAGTCGGCAGAGCTCAGGCCCTGGAGAGCAACTGGGAAAGGGTGGCGTGTGAACACAAGCGCTGATGTAGCCAAGAGAAATTCATTGTCCAAATCTAGCAGATTACTGACATGGAGGAAAATGTACATAAATAGTGCTGGATGTAAATGTTTAGAATGTAAGTGCTTTGGATTATGGAGCAGGAGAGAGAATGGTAATGACAGGATAAAACTCAGAACACGTGTGCAGTGTGTGCGTTCCATACTGCTTATTTTTGCAGCATTTGAAGCTTTTTTTTTTCCTCTTTCTCTGTCCGCAGAGTTTTCATAGATTTGCAAGGTTTTCATCACGGCTGCTCAATATTGTTGATGATGGGTGTTTACCCAGGGAGACATGGCATTGATTTCCAATAAAGTGCAGATGGCATGCGGTCACACACACTCCTATTTTACCAAGAGCCATCCAATAAGTCATGATTTCACAACCGCAGTAACCTGGTGTTGTGGTTCTTCTGACAAAACCGGGGTGGGGTGTCCGTCATTGTGGATAACCTTTAGTGGCTAACAACTTTATGCCTGGGATTCATTTGACTTGCTTTCACTGCATGGCTTTTCTTCTTTTTGTGTTGCAGGCTTCCTCAGCACAGGTGACCAGGCAGCTAAAGGGAACTATGGGCTCTTGGACCAAATCCAGGCTTTGAGATGGATCAGTGAGAACATCGGCTTCTTCGGAGGAGATTCCAATCGCATCACAGTGTTTGGTTCTGGGATCGGAGCTTCTTGTGTCAGCCTGCTCACGCTCTCCCATCACTCTGAAGGTACAGTGGGGCAGAGGCGCCGGTGTGGTGGGGCTGTGTGTGATATAGCTGTTCAGCTTGTGCCTGCTGGTGTGCAGGCTTCTTGATATTATCTATGCATGCAGGTAGTGAGTTACAGCGAGTAATCTAATCTACTTCACTGTGCAGCATAAGAAATGTTTTAAGATGAAACAAGTTTGTATTCAAATGAATGTGATTTTCAGTCCAGAAATGGAAACTTCACGGTGGATTTCAAGCCACATGTGGGCTTTGACATATTCTGCCGGTTTGTTAGTATTCTTCCCTGTACCAAAAAATGGGTGTAGTGTGACACTGGAAGCAAGACACTGTATGTTAAGGAGAGCTTTTCAAGGTAGCCACGTCGTGCTAAATGGTGCACACTTGCAAGTTTTCTTTTTTTAAAAAACAAAATCACAATGTTTAGCTGCTACTTTAATGTCACCTCATGATGATTTACTGCTCATGTTGGACTTGTCTTTAATGCAACATGCAAGCTTGACTTGGACATGAAATAAACATCCCTCATACTAATCCTCCTCTAATGCATCACTAAATTCAAATAGAGCATTACAGGTAAGTAATTGCTGGAGGCCCAAATGCATAATACTGAAAGTGAAATTATTACATGTTTTTGTGCAAACATTTAAAAGCCGTTACTGTAAGGGACCGCATCCTCAATTAGATTTGACATCATGGATGGATGCATGGATCTGAGGTTGCAGTTTGGGGAAGGCCTTCATAAGGACTGGCTGCAGCTCCCAAGCTGGGCTGGGGAAGGTAGGGTGAGGTACAAAAATGAGAATGAATTGCCGGTGGTGTAGGAAGGGTCATTTAAGGCATTATGGGTAGTTGTGGCTCAGCAAGTAGAGCAGATCGTCTACTAATTGGAAGGTCATTGCACAGTTTTGTGGCTACTCCAGTATGCATGTTGAAGTATCCTTGGGAATGATACTGAACCTTGAGTTTCCCCAGATCCATCCATTGCAATGTGAGTATTAGACAAACTATATATATAAGTACCAGTTCATTTACCATATAGTCAAAGCACTCGAAGGGGAGTGTATGAGGTGCTGTCCAGCTCCTAAAATTCAGATAAATTAACTCTTAATTGACCACAGTTGTTTGAATGCGACAGGCAAAGCGATGTTATATTTTTTTATATGTTATTTTCCAACTGAGAGATTTTTACATTTAGCCAGGCTCATGTAGCCTCATTGCAAACATGTTAACAAGCCACAAACATGTTGCTTTGGACACAGATGGCTGGAGGTGTAACACTGGGCTGTTACTGTACATTACATGGAAGTAAACCACATCAAAGAAACCACTCTTGCAGTAGATAGAGGCCTGGTCCCAGACAGTGTTGTGGCCACAAAGCTATTAAGCGATACACCCCCATCACTACACACACCAGCTCAAACACACACACAGAAGCACACACTATTCAAGAACAGAGTGAAATCTCTCTTCTTGGATTTTTGATTAGTGGACCAACCAGGGTGAGTTTGAAAGAGGTCATTTGATCGTCTCTTCCTTGGAACCCCATTACAGTGCCAAAGATTTGTGATATGTTTTGCATTCTCCAATTTGCATTAAAGTGTTACTAATTGCCTTGATTTCCTCCGATGACTGATGACTGCTTTTGAATTGAATTTTTACCATAAATGCCTTTTTTTTATTCATACTTCATAATGCTACGCTCCATGTAGCATGTTATTATACTGCCAGAGAAACCATCTCCTCCCAGTAAATTGGATATTACCGGCTCTGTTTTTTCCCCTGAATGGAAATGTATGCCCCACTGATGGGATAAGAAAAAAGAAAAAGCCAGTAAAACTTGAGCGATCCTAGCAAATTGAAACAGGAAGCCTTCTATCACGCCAGGACTCTTGCTGTGAATGTTACCAATGGCAATCAGATTTCACACAGACTCTCTGGGAGCACAGATTGTTGTAATTATATAAAGTTTAGGACTGGAGTGGGCTGCTGGATGTGACAGGAAATACAAGTGAAGAAATGTCTTTTTGCACCTGCTTTCACAGCCTCCACTGTACACCACTCCGCCCCTCCTTCGGTCTTAAGCGTCGAAGCGAAAACTGGTAAGATGCTGTTGTTGCCAAGGCAACGTCACAAACAAGAAAGGAATCAAAGTGTCCGGGTCTACAAAGTGTTGAAAATTAAGGATAAAAATATATAATCAACTGAATTACAAACTGTGACACAAGAACACCTGGTTTCAGGTGGCCTCTAATGGACTTGTGTAATGATTTTCTATCCGTGTCAGCAGACTGTTGCATCTCTGATAGAGCCTCTTATATTGAGCTTCCTACTTTGCAGTCTGAATGAAAATTAAGTCAGAAACACCACTCACAGCCCCTGAATTTATACTCCAACTTGCTTGCATGTAAACCCTTTTCCACTAGAGAAGTAGTATTTTCATAGTAGTGGTACATGTGGTATTATGGAATAAGATTTGCATCCCTACATACACAAACATTTCCCTTCCTGTTCTGCTCAGATGCACGATAATGAAGCCCAGGTGAAAAAATAAAAAAAGAGGAAATCAATGATGGCACACTGTACTGAAGCTCCCTGGTGTGTTGGTGTATTTAATGACAGTATTCCCACTCTTACGGTACAAAGTCTGTCATCACCGCCTGCAGTGCATAGACTTTCCATCTAACCGAGACTCTTTTCATGCCTGTTGGTGGCAGAGTGACAACTTATTTTAGATGCTCCATGCTCCTCCTGAAGCTTATTTAATAAGCTGAATTCTCCTATATCATCCTGGCCCTCTGGCCTCTCTCTTTGATTGCCTGCTCCGCTGGCCTGGCCTTGGTGGCGTTTTCGTGTGGGCGTGCCGAGGGCTCCAGTCACAGGGTACATCCATCACGGAGTTTTCCCCTCCTGGCCCGTGTGGAGGCTGGTCTGGATGCCTTCTCGCGAGGGCTAGCTTTTTTAGACCATGGTGCCTGCCCTGCCTCCTCCTACATCCAATCTCGTCCTTACTTCACCCATCTGTCTCCTTGCCTACACAGTCAGTAAAAGCATGCACGGGACATGCTCTTTTTCACCATGTGCCAGTGCGTCTCTCTCCCTTGTCTCCCTCTCTAGGTTTCTGCTCCCTAGTCTGCAGCATGTGTGGTGTGTTGCTATTAATAAGATGGCTGCCTTGTCTGGTATGTGGCAAGCAATCTTGCTGCACATCTGAGACTTTGGAAGCAGAATGGTCATTAAAAGCGCAGTCTCTCTCGGCAGGAGAGTGTTTTTGACCAGCTTATTAAATGTAGCTCAACAGTTGTGTTCCCACTGAGGAAAATCTCTGTCCCCATCTTCTTTTTTTCTCCATCTTCAAAAAGAAAATGGCTAAAGAAGTTCAAAAGAAAGGACATTAGCAAGTCCCATGTATTATCTATCTGGCATCGCACAGGCGCTAATTAAACATGCAGATTTGGCTTTTTCCCCTATCTCCTAATAATCGTTATGATTTCAAAATTGAGATGGTTTTTCTGTGCATGAGCAGAATACCAAGTGCCCAGTGACTCAGACATGTGCATTTGTACATATATCTCTAGAGATTCAAAGAAGTGTTGCTCAATTCAAAACCCAAAGGAAATATACTATGCCATTCACACTCAGTGTCAGTGTGCATCTCATCCCTGCACATATGTCAGCACAGGCGTGTCCATTCACAGCGCACACATGAGGGAAGGGCTAGGTGTAGAGGCGCTGAAGGTCGTTTGGTTTCTTTTTTCTTTTTTTTCCTTCCTCCCTCTCTTCCAGTAAGCAATCAGGATAAAAGCTCCACTTCTAAGGAAGTGCTCCCGTTTTAATGGAATGTTCTGGACATTAAAGACAGCTAGTGAGGAGGATCCTTCATGCCAATGTCAGCTTTCATTTTTATTAAGACTTCTGGGTTATTGAGAACCATAAATACACATGTTAAATGCCTGGGTTTTATTACAGAAGTGCAAGGAGTACAAATGCATTTTAATGCAAGACGCCTCCTCGCAAATACTTAAACCCCATGAACCATGAGGGCAAGGGAGCAGGTACTTTGTTTTCAGGAGAGGGCATAGGTTTGAATCTATTTAGTGGGAAGAACAGGAGAGGATTTGATTAAGTGATAGAATGTGTGATTGGATCTGGAGAAACTGAAGATCAGAGCGACAGATTGTTTTTGCTTTTTAAAAAAAAAAATTAAATATTAAATATGAACTTTATTACAGGCCACCGATGTTGTTTTAAATTTGCGAGTGTCTAGTGTTTCTAGTGTCATTCTTTCAAAATGTGTTTTGGAAGACACTTACAGAGCATGTCTAGCCAGGTAGGTAAGATACAGCCACAAAGCTTCAAGAGTATAACGGAGATTCAAGCAAAGGTTGATTTTGAACATGGATTTAGCCCTTCTCGTTTCATGGGATTTGATAGATCCACAAGATATTTTATGGCATTTACCACCATCGGGGACTGTGACCCTGATATCATCGCACAAACAAAACCTTTATCAATTATTTATTAATGCTGTTAAGGGGGATTCTTTAACCCAAATCCTAACAAACTAAATATGAAAGGAAAGATTAAAAGAGAGTCCAAAGGATTAAAATCAACAAGTGAAAACCAAGTAAAACAAATAGCAGGCTTGTTAGAGCCGTGAGTCATACAGTGATGGATATTACAACATAAGTATGCACTTACACAGAAGGCTAACTAAAGCATTCAGTCTTTGTTTATAGTAAGATGTCGTACAAAAATAGCTGATTGTAGTGTTAACCTGCTGGCGTTAGCTTGCCAATGATTGTAATTTAAAGAAATATTAGGCTTAGCGTTCTTACACCACGACAGTGGCCCCTGCTCATTCTAAAATGTGCGAGCATTGCTCAATCTGCAGCTTAAAGAAAATATCAGCACACCAGAACGAAGACAAGATGGAAGGAAGCTCATTAGCATGCACGAAATACCAGACCTAGTGTCGAAGAATGGCAGTTTCTACATGCACG